TATATATATATGTATATATATATGTATATATGTATATATATATATATATATATATATATATTACTATTGTTAAGATCCTCGTGGTTTGGTATAATAATCAGCGTTTTCTTGTTCGTTGGTCAAGTACGTACTCAAAATCTTTTACTGTACCAATGGAGTTAGGCAAGGTGGAGTCATGTCTCCATTGCTCTATAACTTTTACATTGATGAGCTCAATATTAACCTAAACCAATCTAATTATGGCTACATTATCTCTGATGTTAAAATCAACAATCTCAGTTATGCTGATGATATGGTGATAATGGCTCCATCTCTCTCTGGATTGCAGGGGCTTATTGATATTTGTGAGAAATATGCAATTGAACATGATATCACTTATAATGCTAAGAAATCTGTATGCATGCTATTATGTCCTAAACAGCGCAAGCTTACAGGTGGTAAACCTGAAGTATTTTTATGCAATAGCGAACTTGAATTTGTTAAGGACTTTAAATATCTTGGACACATTATAAACAATGAGCTTAAAGATGTACAGATATTATGCGAGTATCGATGCTTAAGTGTAAGATCTAATTCATTGCTAGAAAGTTTAGTAAATGTTCTGATAAGGTGAAATGCATGTTGTTTAAATCCTTCTGCATAAATATGTATTGTGAATCCTTATGGTCTAGTTATATAAAGGAACGTTGAAGAAATTGCAAGTTTGTTATAATAACGCATTACGTATGATACTTAAATTACCACGCCACAATAGTGCCTCAGCCTTGTTTGTTAACTGTGGTTTATTATCCTTTATGGAAAACCTCAGAAAACCCACATATGGCTTTTGGCATAGGCTTCACAGTTCTACTACTATTATGTGCATTATGAATACTGCATTTCATGGTTCAGCAATGCATGCAAAATGGGAATATACTCTTGGAGTTTTAGTTTAGTTCTGAACCAACTGGTGTGTCCATGAGATTCTTGGTTTTTTTATTCTTAGTAATTTTATTCATTGTACAGTACAGTATTTCGATATTATGTATTTGTCTTTAGTTATATTTTATATGTACTTTGTTTACGAAATAAAGAATAAATAAAAGAAATAAAATAATACATACACACACGACAATCGACACACATATACGTACAATTATAGGCCTAA